CGTAGCACGGTAGTGCTTCCACAAACGATTTCTCCTGCGGAGCATACTTCTAAGCTCCCTCTCGAAACAGGGTGGTTAAGTTTTCCTCGTTCAAGGATATTGATTTCATCTAGTTAATAATATATATATATATGTACATGTATAGCGGTCAACGAAATTCGAATTAAAACCAATCATCTATAAATTCTCACTGGGATATTCTTTGTGCAACCAAATCCTTGCAGTACTGTGATCACTGAATTTCTATACTCATTCTTTCGCTTGATAGCTGCTACTTCGGTAACATGTTCAAACGGGGAGTGAATATTGGTAAATAAAATCATAAGGTTCGCGTTTTACTAGCACTACACTATACGATAGCCAATGATTAGCTTGCGCTGTTTTCTCAATTTGCAACACGTGTTTTTTGATTATCCTCTCGAACTTGTTTCTCACTTTATGGACACAATTCACAAACCATACCGTTTGTGCGACAAGATAAACGTGCTCCTGTAAGAGAGATATCTCTAAGTCTCTCGGAATTGATCAAGATGATACTGATGACGAATATGTCCACGAAACAGGTGAAATTTGATATTTGCGCGAAACAGTACAACTGAATTCCAAGGTCCAGGACAGGAAATTCACCGTTGGACTAGCTCCGTTTTTGTGTCGGAGATTTGCATTTTAGAAGGCTTAGTTTACGATTTGATTCTGTGACCACACGATTGCGTTTAGTTTTCTAGTTTTCGAAACGAATTATCTTTGCAAACGGATGTAAGACATTCAACAACAGACAGATAACGAAGTACATGAAAAATGTCGTATATTCTCCTCCTTGACATTATCTCGGGCATTCGCAACAGAACGCACCTTCAAAACATCTTTCGACGTCATTAACACAGTGAAGTTCTGCTTAACCATATCGCACGCATCTGCTGCTGCAATGATATCCAAAAACAGAAAGATTGCATCGAATTAAGACATTGTGTGCATCGTTGAAGGAATCCGTGTTTGGTAGATTTCAATTTCGTTTTTGCCTCATTTTGAGAATTCCATATCCCCCAGAAATGATGTGAAAAGCTGATAATTCGCACACCCGGTTGAATGAAGCTACTACTGAATTGAGTTTATTTGGAAGGGCTTTGGAACAGCGGTGAACGCAAGGATTATTAGATATATTTATCTGCTGTTCAAACTGTGGCTTGTAACGAGCAATATCCGAGCAAATTGGCTACACTAATCTTCCCCCAACATCTGATCAATAATTCAATTTGTGGTTTCAATCATGAATAACAACGATTCGGATGAAAGTATATTTAACAAACGCATGTGTTTATTCATGACTGTGAAAAACAAACACAACGACGGTAAATGCACGAGTGACAGAGCAGCCAGCAGCAGTCGGAGCAGCAGCAACCACAACGGGTGCAACTCGAAGCGAAACAGAGGAAAGCTTCCGAATGAAAATGGACTACAAGAAAATGTCGATTTCTCATAGTTCTCGGTCCAAACATTGGACGAAATGTGTCGGAAAAAACTGAAATGTGAATTTCGTGTGAAATTTCGTTCAATGTGTTCTTTTGTTCTGACATGAAAGCAGAACGAAAGTGAGGTCGTTGAAGGGAGTGTGAGGGTGTAGAAAAGTCATCTATTTGGACATATGCAATCTGGGTAGAAGGACCATCGGGATGGGGGAATGTCGGTGCACGTGTTGGTAAATTTCTCCAGTAATATCACCACAGACACGTTCTTGAGTCCAAAGCAAGAACAAATCCGCGCGATAACGTGCGGCCGCTTGAATTAGGGCCGGTCCGACATGTGAATTCACATAGATCACTGACTTGGCTTTCAGTCCGTGACTCTGCGCATGTTGCACGTGTTCCCTACACAAGAGTTTTGCTTCGACCAGGACCTTCTTTTTGATAGGCACCGGATTGCCCGTAACTGAGGACACCATGGACGCGCGGATACCAAACAGCGAGTTCGTGTTTCCCGGCTGAATGACATGCACGAAAATAATCCGGTAATTTTCCGAGGATATTGTACGATAGTATAGTTCCAAAGTACGTAATGTGGGATGGTTGCGGTCAATGGGAATGATGATAGTGGTCGGTCGCGTTTTGCTCATCGTTGTTTGATTTGTGGTTTGTTTGTGTTGGTCTCCACCGATTGAGTTTCTCTATCCGGTCCTGTTCTCCGTTTTCAGTGAACCAGAACGCTGTCTGCACGCCTTCATTTCTGGGCACACACATATATATATATTGACGGGATAGAGTACGCAGCAATAAAGTTCATAAGTCACGTGCTTCTGATTCCGCTTGTGTGACATTTCTGTTCGTGTGCGAACAGAAAGTGGAATGCAGTTGAATTTTCGCGTTAAAACAAACAGTCTATCTCCACAAATCTCCTCCCCCTCAGCCCCCTATACCATACAACTGCGTGTTTGGATTGAGTCCATAGAAGGTTTACCGATCACATATGCATTTCCATATATGTGCACAACAAGTGAGTGTAGATACCAGTCTGCACACACACACACACACACACACACACACACATGCACACACGGGAGCACAACCACACCCCACTTTTTCTCCGCCATTCATCTCTCATCTGAACTCACAAATCTTTCGTAGTTAAACCCGATCAATGAATAGTTTTCATACCACTCCTAAAATTCCACCAGTCCATTGACCCCTGACACATTGTATTCCCCATATTGCCTTCGTTGTGTGTCAGTGGGCGGATCATGTGGAGTGGTTACTAATCCACCTCGATTCCGAAGCAGCTTGGAATCATAGGCTCAAGATGACTAATATGTATATTCATTTGATCACTATGTCCGGATACGGTTGTTATGACCTAGACCATATGACAATTAGAAACGTGTAATGAGTAGTTGAGAGAATGTGAAGGAAAACAATTCCGTAGAAATTAGCTTTCACATAGTGCCTGACGAAGTTACCCGGTTATCAATAGTACTCAGGTGAAGTAACACGACTGTTTTTATTTGCTTGCGAATCACGCATCTCATCTTCAGGAGGTGGGTTCCATCCACTCACTGCGCTTTCACTGATCTAAAACAAAATGTGTGATTCACCTCTGCTCTGAAGGTAGGAATATCTAATATCTTCTTCAGGAGTTTACAAAATAAAACTTGCTGGGGCGTACGTGAGCTGTCGTTGAGGTCATTCTTGACAAAACATGGAAATATTTCAGTTTTGCACATTCTCAACTCCACAATGCAAATGGACTATCAACACGATCACGATGGTTTTCGTTGGTGAAACAGATATTCATTTTTATATAATGTGACATTCTGTCCTGATTCGTTTAACTGTCGAACTACGGACTTTTCGGATAGTAATGTAATGTGTCGGTTATCTGGTGTTACAATTTTTCCTTCCATCCTCTTCTAACATCTTTTCCCCTACGCTTCTGCCTTCATTAAATTATCCCATTCGACTGTTACCTTTCCTAGGTCACTATGGGCTGAGTGACCACAGACAGCATTTGTGTCCCAATGATACTCCTGTCGCAGCAAATTCGAGAGTGGAAAATGCGATGTGGAAACAGTTTTCCATGGTTCCATGTTCTGCGTTTTCCACGGATCGTGTAATGTTCAGCACCAATTAAATTTGTAAATCCACACATACGAAATACTGAATATGTCGAGTTAATAATCATCCTCATGTGTCTTCCTTCAGAACAGTGATGTATTTGAGACAGTCTCCCGGTCGCACTGTTTCTTGTTTGATGTTTATTTGTCCAGTTGAGGGTGGACTGGATTGTCCAGTATCACATGAAAAAAACATTTATATCTCAAATTGAAATTCGAATCGGACATATGCACCTGACACTCCCATCGAAAACTAAAAGCGACTCCGAATTAGTAGCATTCAATTTATGGAAAGACAGATTGTCTGTTTCTCCGTTCTTCTGTTGTTATTGTTTTGACTTACAAGGCCATTTCTGAATGAATCATTTGTAGCTACACAAGCCCCGTGTGGGGACAGTTTTATCTGTCCTCACAGGTGTCCGTGTTGAGGTTGAAAGCCCTGCTAGTGAAATTTCAATCCCTCCAACTCCCTCAAACCGGCAATCAGAAATGGTGATGTGATATTATAAGATATCGTCCGTGGTTGATTTGCGAATTAATCCGGACACTTTTCCCTATCCCGTGTTGTGCAAACTTTATCATCGCGAGCTCATATTGTAATGGTGTGAGAATAGTGTTTTTCTTTCATTTTGTTTATTGAGTAAACTATCTCACAAACTGACCTCAGGAAGAGTTCGGGAGTGGAGTTATTCGAAGCTGCGGCCTCCGGATTGCTGCGTTACTGGACTAAAATGTTCTGATTGATTTCATGATGTGCAGTTTATGGAAGGAGTGCGTGGTACTTCGAATGGGTTTGTTCGAAAGTCCCCTTGTTTTACAGTGTGTTTTTAATTGATTGTTTGAGCGTTATGGGACAAGTGTCTCAACCGGTGAGCTCATGGATTCATTCCAAAGAAAGTGATGTCACAGTGTCGCATGCTATCTGCCATGCCAAAATTCGCTTTATACCGTTGATTTTGAACTGTCCTTTTTCAGTGACAATTGTCCTAGCTAATGTTTAGAGCGCTGTCGGAAGTGTAAATACGCTCTCAACTTTTCTTATGACTCCTATATCTCAATTGTAATAACCGGATGGTAAATCGGATTTTGTCAAACTATGGAGGAAGAATTTTCATCATCACATTTTCACCACTGCCAATGCAGTGCACACACAAGCTAGTTTTCTATTTTCTGCCTTTAACCGACCATGTGAATCTAGGCAGCAGGAAGTTAGTTTGGGCATAAATGATGCTAAATCGACTTATCGGGTCTGGACCATGTTTCGTCATCAACAGATTTGTTTGTGTTCGGTGTCCTTTGGTAAACGTAGGGGTTGGTAATGGCATAGTGATATTGAGCGTGTTGATGTTAGGTGATGCGTGTGTGTGGGTTTGAGGGATCCAATTAGAGAATGACCTTCGAACATTTGACTCGGTCAATCGGCGTCTAACCCAACATGGAATGTGCTTCTGAATCCGTAGCTGCAATCGCCTATTTGTTCCGCCAATGTGGGTCACTTCGCATCCACATTCAAACTGGTAAGTGACGTGTGATTTTGCGGACAGTGGCAGGGGTGGATTGTCAGAAGAATGGTAGGGTGAGAGCATGTGGTTGTGTGTAGGAAGGACGATTGGGTTGGCAGAATCCTAAGTGTATTTTACCACTTTTTTCAATCTATCTTGGAGGATCAGGCTGACATGGTCGCCTTTAAAGGGAAGGCTAGTGTAGACCTTTTTAAGAACGTCATTATGAAGATGGATAAAAAAGTTATTGAGTCCCAACTCACAAATCTTATGCCCCCAGTTTGTTTATCATGGAAAATCCACTTTGTGGTTAACCACTATGAGATGGAAAACGTATAGCCGATTGTTGGTCTGATATCTTGTTTTCCAATCAAATGCCACAAAGGCACTGTGTCATGGCGGGGTGCTTTTACAAACCTACACCCTTATTTTGTACAGGGCAAATGGATGGATACCCGAACACAGGCAACCTCACCGCTCACCTCTACTTCGAATGTTAAACTTTGGTCTTGGATGAAACGAATCTGGTGATTTGTTATGACATTCTCGTTCCCAAACCAAAGGAAAACAATACGAACTTAACTTATGTAGGACAAGTTTTCAATGCATGTGCGTTCTACAATCGTGATCATTCTTATCACGGTATATTAGAAGGACTGAGTAAGATTTTGGTTAGTTACTTTTTTGACCCAGCGGTTTTTCGTGAACGTTCCTTGCGAAGTTGGTGGAAATCACATTAAGGTTAAAAACCGCAGAGAAACGAAATTTATGAGTTCAAACAAGAGCGAAACTCCATTTTATTGAATCCCGAAAATGTGATTGATCCGCTTAAATGAATATAACATCGGAATAGTGAAAGACCCGATTGGGTCCAGAAACACGCAAAGTATGTGCAGTTGAGTGAAGCTAGTGAAGTGATATTCGGAGAGATATTAATTTAACTAATGCTGCTTGCTCACGTTCATCTTTAACTAGGAATGAGCTTCGACTGCGCTGTGATTAATTGTGTGTATTACAAGCCATTTAGATCGCCAAGTTTGTATACACATTGTGAGAGCGGTACACCACTAGCACACTCATTACACATACACGCACCTGAACCTGACCTCTCCTTTATCTGGTCTGTTGATGTTTCGAATATAATTGAGCAAATACAAATTCGTTGTGATAAGATGAAAAGAAACGGAACGGTAGCCCAAGAGCAATCTAGTGGGTGTGAACAAATGATGACTACTATATTAGGACACTACTATATTTTAACTATGCATCTGAAAGGATAAATCTAGTGAACGGTATATTTTTCACAAAATCTTCAACATAAGAACAACACTTTGGAACACTCTATCAATAATAAGGGTCATCCTTGGTATGTTTTCAGCGGTTAAAGGTTGGGGTGTGGCGGTCCCCGTGAAATTCATTATTTGTGTTCATTTTTCTCATAACAAATTAATTTGTACTGTCTGTAGGATGTTCACATCGAGAAAAATGGAACACTCAAGTAGCTGTCTGATCGTCAGTTCATTCACATACCACGGAAGCCTATCAGTCCAGTGGCGAGCACACAGCTCAAACCGAGAAGATGGTGGGATGCACCCCATAAGTGTGAATTCAGGTCTGTGTGTGAGAGAGATGGCCTCCGGAATGTGAAAAAATTGCATGCGAAGACCCCACAGGCGTTGAAAAATACCAAACAGCACATACCTCAAGTGCTTTTCAAAGTCGTTCTGAAATTTCACGATAAGAATGCTTAGTATAATCCGAATGTCCAATGAAACAATACGATCTAGTTTATTTGAAAGATGCTCATGTATTACAGAATCATAAAAAATTCAAAAACACTTGACACAAACTCAGAAGAGCAGGCCCATTTAAGTTAACAAACCAGTCAAAAGTCAAGTTGCCTAGCTAATATAAACTGTTCCATACGGAAATCAAAACAAGATGATTATTCGTGAACAATTGTTGAGATTATCTCCTCAACTGTACATACAACTGTCATACAAAACT